GAATTTAAGAAACAAAACAGATGAACATAGGGGAAGGGAAGGAAAAATAAGATAAAAATGGAGAGAGAGGCAAACCTTAAGAGACTCTTACATACAGAGGAGAAACTGAGGGTTGCTGGAGGGAAGTGGGTGAGAGGACGGGCTAGATGGGTGATGGGCATCAGGGAGAGCACCTGTTGGGATAAGCATTGGGTGTTACATGTAAGTGATGAACCACTGGGTTCTACTCCTGAAGTGAATATTACACTGTATGTTAACTAACTTGAATTTAAATAAATAAGTTAAAAAAAAAAAATAAAGGAGATCCACACAGTCAGAGGTGCCCTCTTGGCTCAGGTAAGCAGCACAATCAAGAACACCTCAGGAAGCAGCAGTCACTACCCAGGCCACTCTCCTGGTTCCCCATGTGCTGTCACTATACCCTGGTCAAAGGATACTATGTACCTGCTCAAAAACTTGTTGCTATCATGACTGTTCAACTTGTGCCATCTGGGATGGTAGTTTCACAGGGAGTACTAGTAAGGCTTTAATTTAGAAATCTCTTCATGAAATCACAGTTTTCCAATTTAAATGAAAAGACGAAATGCAGTGGTGTGTATTTTATCAGATTAGCAAAACCTAAAGGATGTACAAAGATGGCTGGGGCCACCTCCAGCTTCCATTTGCCCACTGTACACCAGAAACACACTACTACAGATACTTCCTTTGCCTTTTTGTTTGGTAGGGAACAGACCAACTTGGGACCCTCTGTCAGAGACAGGAACAAAACACACACACAGCTGGAGCTCCTAAGTTATTTCTAAATAATAAGATCCAAGGAAGAGCAAGGACAGCATGAAGACAGTACTTTCTTTCTATACAAAATTCTAAGGATCTGAATGAATTAAGGGGTAGTAGAGGAGGAAAACTGCAGAGGTTCAAACTAAATGCAATATATGCAGGTATGGGTTTCTACCAGCCACTTTGGGGACCAGGCCCATGCATCTGACAGCCTGGCAGATTCATGAGACTGAGCCACTATTTTTACGGGCTCTACCACTGACAGACAGTTTTGCGGAGAAAAGATTACGTGGGATTTATCTCCATAATTATACCAACTCTAAGTCAGAAGGTTGGACAAATTAACCACCCAGTGATAAATCTGTCTTGACCTTTTCACCACTTCTCCAACCTTGCTGGTTTTTCAGAGGCTGATTTCCCCTTCCTTCAGACTATAAATTCTGGCCAAATACTAAAAGCTAGCCAACTGACCTGGATAATTATCCTCAGCTCCTAAAATAAATGCTGTGGCGTGTAAACTTTTCTAGAACTTGGGAAACATAGTTGGAAGGACCAAGCTCAGAGTTAACTGACACCTGTAGCAAATCAGACTGAAGCTGAACTTCACCTAAAACACTACCCACTTCCTTACCTGCCCTGCTTTGAAGGCCCCTTTAGTGGATTGCTAGTCTATGGTGTACCAGACTCACCTGTTACAACCAGCTTTTTCTGAACTGGTGACATGAAGGCAAGTTTTAACTACTGGGTTCAATTTATTGTTCTTAATTTTACTCTTGAACACACTTGATTTAATTTTACATTTGAACTCCAGAACACTCCCACAACACAATTACGTTGAGCTGTTACAACTCTCTCACACACTGCTAGCATGTAAACTGACAGAACCGTTTTGGAACACTACTGGCAGCATCTACTAATATGAACATACACATATCCTATGACCCATTCTAGGTACTTTGGGGCACACACAACAGAAATGTATACCTATGTTTATCATATGTTCAGAGCAACACTTACCATCTGTAAGAACGAACACCAGACAGAAGCAAAACTCACTGTGTGATTCCCTCTAGATAATACTCACAACCAGCCCAACTAGTCTGTGCTGGTAGGAATCAGGACAGTTGTTGGTCCTGGAGGAAAGAAGACTGAGAGGAGTATCATGGGGGCTTCCGGGTATTGGTCACACAGGCATATTCTCTTTGTTAAAACTCACTAAATACTCATGATTTGTACCTTTTTCTTCATAGGTACATTCTATTTCAATAAAAAATTGTAAGAAAAAAGAGGATCTCATGACAGATTTTTAAAAAACCAGTCTCCACATACATGCAATAATCCTTTTCTTTAAAATTCACTGAAGAAAAGCTCATTTCTGTGAGAAAGTAAAAAGAGAAAACGCCCTATTCCTATTCTAAAGGCTATTTTTATGAACTCTAGTTCCTTTGGCATGGTCTCCCTAAGAGAAATAGCTGTATCTGAATCTGCTGTAAGCCCCCTCTTAGTGCTGTCACGGGGCAGCATCGTGGGGTCACTCTGGAATCAGATGGAGCCCAGCACAAATCCCGGCTCCACCATGCAAGGTCACGTGGTCCTCACCATGCACGCACAGTTCCTGAACTGTGAAGTGAGCGGAAACAATACAGGTGACAGGCCTTGCATGCAAACATTTGTCCTCCTGGTGTGAATTTGGGGAAGAAGGCAGCATCTCTCTTCCCATCTTTTATGAGCTAGACGCAGATGTTAGAGCTCTTTAGGAGTCCTCGGTGAACAGTTACTGCGGATGATGCCACTTAATACCAGCCAGAATCGAGACCAAGTAGCGACAGTGAACTTTTAACCCAGTAGCTTTAGGAACAAAATTTTAAAAATAACTACTGTTTCTAAAAAATCACTTTGTGGTCTTCATTCTGTTAAGCATTTGTATCTTCTGAAAGTTTAACTTTGAAGAAAATTAGATCTCATACAGAGAATTTAAGATATGCTCAAGCAGACAGAAAGACTGAGGGAGAAGGATCCTATGTTGTGAGCAGGGCAGACCCCAAAGACTACATCCACAAATATCATGTAGATCAAGTGGCAAGTCTGATGGTGGGTTATAAATTCCACAGGGGCCATTTAAGAGTCGTGTGTGTGAAATGAAGGCCTCCCAACTGAAGTCAACCTAGCCCCAGCCTGGGATAAAGCCAATAAAAACTAATAACTAAAACATGTTTTGGGTTGTGAATTAAAAGATCCATGTTGATAATACAAGTTGCCAGATCATAGTTTTTTTCAGTCATGGCTTCCTCAGGCGAACATGCCTGGTTATTTCCGTGAGCAGATTTAGAAAATTTGTCATCTGAGGAAGTCAGGCTGTTATTAGTCATGTTGGGACCTTCTTTGGCTTCCAAGGGTCACTTTCCGTTACCTTAGTTCATTTCTACATGCCTTGGCCGAAGAATTTGCATCCCACCCCAAGAAGCACAAGCCTGGGCTCTGCTAGACACCTGGCACGCTGCTGTAGGGTAATTACGAAAACCCTCCAGGACGACTGTTACTTGAGCAAAGTGACATACGGCACACACCCATATGCACTGCTCTCTACAGAGGGAAGAAATGTTGGGGGAGGGGGGAGCACGAAGAAAAGCTGAAATGAAAGGTACGTTTTAGGTTTTCAAGATGTGGGTAGGTAGTTTTGGGTAGGTAAGTTTAAAAGGACTGTGAGATCAACTTTCAAGGTGGTCAAAAGACGGCAAGTAGTTGCCAACTTGAAAGGGCTCCCATCAGCTAAAGACAGAACAATCTGAGCATCAATAAGAATAATGTCCATAATAGATTAAAACACATAAAATACACAAAAATATGTAAATTTACAATACTAAAAACATATACACACAACGGGGGGGGGAAACCCCTTATTGTCACCTTTGGTGCAGGCGGCAGTGGTTAGTAACTCATTATCCATGTAACCGATAAAGAGAAAGGATGAAGCATTTACTCAGTCTTTCCTGTAAGGACTCATTTTCAGGATAACTAAATGATTGACCAAAAAAAAAATTTTTTTTAAGTTAAAGAATCACTGCTAATAAATGAAGAAGACATAGAAATAAATGCAGAAGGAATAATCAACTTAGACATCTCACCATTTTGCAACACCTGATGGTTTAAATAGCGGATCTACAAAGCAATTCTCAAAGGCAGGTAAAATCTTTGGTGAAGTCTGATGGGGAATGCATCGACCAGCCTAACAACACCAGAACTACTAACCAACCCTACTGTCACCAAGAGAGACAACCGAAATTACAGTAAAACTGCCAGCTCCCAAAAAGTGAACCTGAACCTGGTAAAACATTCAGAGCAAGCCTCTGGATTATGGGAGAGGTGTTGAGAGAGATGAAGTGGGGACGAGAACATACAAAATGGCACTACGCACCTAAAGGGGACATGCAGGCACGGTCAAAACCCTAGTTTCTTCAATACTTGAATGACATTTGAAAAAAAAAAAGGAGGGGAGATGAACTGTTACCACATTAAAACAGTTTTAAGAGAACAAATACAATGTGTGGACCTTATTTGAACCCTGATTCCAACAAATGAAGCATCCAAAGACATTCAGCTAATGGTACTAAGAGTTATGGTTACTTTCACCGGGTGTCATGATAGTTATGTTAAAGAGTAAGATTTCCATTGGTTAGAGATACATTCTGAAGTCTGTTTCTTGCCCCAAAGTGAAGAGAAACAGATAAAATATTGATAACTGAGGCTGTACAACAGGTATGCAGGGAGGATTATTATACTATTCTCTCTACTTTTGTCTATGATAGAAGATTCCTATAACAAAAAGTTTAAAATGGCACAAAAGGTGATGGGTATTGAAGCTGGGTCATAAGAATTCATGGCACTATGCTTTTTTGTGTGTGTCTATCTTTAGTTAGACTTGTAAGTTTAACCTGTAAGTTAAAAAAAAAAAAAAAATGTAGATAATCCAAGGATGAATTTTTAAGGAACTATGGGATCTGTCCGCCACTAAGAGACTGACCAAGGAAAGGCACCACATCAGGAACAGAACATGGCAGGCATTATGTGGTGGTGGCTATACAACCAGATTTCATTTGCCTACCATGACCTGGATGACAATGAACATGACAGTCACAGTTCATGTCTTGAAAGGTTAGCTCCTTTCATGCTATGCCACAGGGATGACCCAGTCTTGTCTGTGAGCAGAGTGTGCCTCTCACCTGGCTGGGGTGGATGAGGTGGTGGCATCTGGTGGTGCATGAGAGGGTAGGGAGGAGGCTGCTGATGAGGCATCATGCCAGGGTGTCCCGCTGCTCCGAGTGGTGCCAGGCCAGGTCCTCCTGAGTGCTGGTGTGCCTGCTGAGGGTTCTGCCCATGCTGCTGCTGTTCCATTTGCTGTCGGGCTCGCAATTCAGCGTATTTCAGCTGTTCCATGTGGAAGTTCTGGCGTTCAGTAAGCAACTGCTGCCTCTGTTGTTCTAACTGTTAAGAAAAAGAAAGGAAAGAGAAATGACACCATGAGAGGTTCTCAGGAATGGATGACACATAGGACACCTACCTGATGCCTGAACTCCCTATACCGCATCACAGTACATAGCCACCTCACCTCCTGCACGATCTACAGTGAGAAAAGGCATTATTTCTTGAGTAGCAGATTTCCACTTGGACACTTGTTAACAAGATCAAGGTCTTTGTGTTATGTACAAGGTCTGCCTTTCTTTACAACCTTCACCCAGTGAGGTTAACTGTTCTCTGGGCCCACCCAGTATACATGTAATCCTCTGTTTGGCAGGCCTTCAGATATGTAAAAATAGTTTCCATGACTGCTTTAATATTCTCCAGGTAAAACAAGCCTCTCCTGTCCTTTTAATAGTCCCCTCAACTGCTAAAATTTCAAGTCCACACAACCTTCCCAGGTGCTCTCTTCTGGACATGATCTTTTGGTTACTATTTTTTTTTTTTTTAACGTTTTATTTATTTTTGAGAAAAAGAGAGACAGAGCATGAGTAGGGGAAGAGGCAGGCAGAGATAGAGGGAGACACAAAACCCGAAGCAGGCTTCAGGCTCTGGGCTGTCAGCACAGAGCCTGACACGGGCCTCAAACTCACTAGCCGTGAGACCATGACCCGAGCCAAAGTCAAATGCTCAACTGCCAGAGCAGCCCAGATGCCCCTGGTTACTATTTTAGAACATGACACAGAGTTAAATCCTCTGGATAGTGGATGTGGCCTTAGCTGCAAATATACACACTTTTCTCTGTGGAGCTTTGACAGTGCCACTGCAAATCTTAGCTTTCAAGTACCCAAAATTATACTGGGTGACACATTCACAGAATATCTCAGATGCCTAAATAAAGATGTGCATGAATCTTGGTTTAAAGAATGTAAGCATTTCAATACTCAAGATAATCTTTCTGGGACCCAAGTTAAAATAAAGAGAAATAAGCAATTATATGTGCCAGGAAATCCAGAAACCATATGCCTGACAGTAGTTCAGAGGATGAAGCACACCTCATATGCTATCAAAATTGATTTGATTCAGGTCTGAAAAAGAAAATCAACTTGAACATGAAAAAAAATAAAAATCCAGATTTCTCGAAGAAGTGTAAAGATTTTAAGGAGGGTTAACGGATCTATTTCCTTCCAATAATGTTCGATCCCACCATTTTCAATGGCAAGACGTAAGTCACTGGGAGACCTTTTTTGAGCTTTTTCTGTCTAACACAGCAGCCATAAGCCACAAATGGCTCCTGAGCACTTGAAATGTGGCTAATCTGAAGTGGTATGTGTTGTAAATATCAAACACACTGAATTCCGAGGTCTTAGTATGGAAAGCAATTGATTTTTCATGCTGATTACATATTCAAATAATATTTTGTATGTACTAGATGAAATAAACATAATTTCACCTTTTATTAATGTGGCTACCAGAAAATTTTAAATGACATATATGGTTCACACTGTATTTGTGTTGGATAGCACTATTCCAAGGCATTTAATAGATTAAAAATATGTAACATTTTAGCTTTCAGTTCTACAAATAAATACTGTATACTGTCATTAGGAAAAAGGGGTTGGAATACGCATGAGAATTAGCTTAAGAATATGGGCTGTCAGCAAGAGAGCTGCCTGAGGAGAAGACCATGTGGACCCAAGCGAGAAGTATTACTGGTTATCAGGAGTAGTAACTAGGGAGTGTCCATGGACAAATGGGGTGCAGGAGGACAGGCCACAGGTACAGGGTGAAAAGAACAGGCATGACCAGATGAGGGGGAAGAAAAATGGGAGAGAATAGGCGGTAAAGCCTATGTCCCACTGGTTAGCTGGCTTGCAGAGAGTCTCCCTAGGGAGAAGATCTTCTGAAATAAAATAATCTTGTGAGTGGTTGAGGGTTATCAGGAGGGAGTGTGGCAGGGAGCCAACACGCTAGCCTCATTTTCTAGGAAGGGTGACCTGAAGAGGCTAAAGCCTGGTCCAGTCCGCCTCCTCCCTGTTTGCCTAACAAGCAGGGAATTCCAAGCTGTAAAAACCAAGAGTCCTCTGGAAGTTCAGCTCTGCAAGAAGAGAACATGTAATCAAGGAGTAAGAGGCAGTCTGATAAAAAAGGGATCTAGAAATTCCGGCTATAGGCCCTAGGATTTGTTTTCTCCTAACCATTCCTTCTAGGAAAGTTAGGACTTTGCCGAGGTTAGACATAAGAGGTTGCCAGAAAAGGACCTCTATCTATGTTCTGGTCGAGCCACTAATGGTCTGGATGGCTTGGCTGAAGTCCTGCAGTTATGTATAAACTACGGAATTTAGGTCAAGATCTGCTTTATAAAGAAGCTAAACTGTTACTACAAGAGATTTTGTGTCTCTGAAGGGAAATTTTGGTCCCTGTGTTGCCTATCTCACTGGTTTTCTTTTTAAACTAAGCCAGTCCTTCTTTGAGAGCTGACCTTAGTCTCAAGGTATTAACCTCGGAAAGAAAAACTTGCCCCATTTTCCGTATCTACAATGGTTACTAACCTTAATTATACTACTTTTTCCAGAGCTTCACTTGTCATTTCAAAACATGGAAGGTAATTAAAAGAAAGTAATTAGAAGAATTAAAATAGATTAAGTGATTAAACACACACGTGCACACACACCCCTGAAAGAGAACCCAGCTTAAACTAAAGCTCCAGTGTGGGCTGAACAGGTCCTCTGGGGTGAGAGAAACGTCCGGACAGAGAGCTACCAACTTGGCTCCCAGAGGGCTGTCTCTGCTCTGCGGCATACGGAGTACAGCTCATGGACACGTCGTGGCTTCATCACGCAGAAGAAATAAGTACCTCCTTGTTGTGGGTACTTTGTTGTTACTCAATTGGACTAAAGACTGAATTCACTTTTTGGCAATCCGAAACAATGTAAATGGCAGTTTTTGAGGAGAGTTCGACAGTACAGAGCAAATTTTAAATGCATGCAGCCAGTGATTGTACATCTGGGAATCTATTCTATAAAACTATGTATGTGTGCCTACCAAGGACAGTAATTAAAGTCCTGGTTTTTGTTTGTCTGTCTGTCTTAAAGTTTATTTATTTATTTTGAGAGAGAGACAGTATGAGCAGAGAGAGAATCTCAAGCAGGCACCGTGCCAGCAGCACAGAGCCCAATGCGGGGCTTGAACCCACGATCTGTGAGATCATGACCTGGACTGAAATCAAGAGTTGGGACGCTTAACTGACTGAGCCACCCAGCACTCCATAATGTACAACTGTCTGCGATACACGGAATTTAAAAAAAAAAAAAAAAGAAGCTACAATATTTATTACATAATCCCAATTATATTACAAAAAAAACTTTGTGTTCATGTGCACACACTTTATATACACACTGAAAATGTTACAGAGAACACCAAACAAATTAAGTGATTATTCCTAGAAATGAAATTGAGGGTAAGAGAGACTTTTTAATTCATTTCTTTCTTTACTGAAAGTTTTTTCATCACAAATATTTTTGTTAAAAAACAAACCACTAAAATAAAAAAATAAAAAACCAAAACAGTAAAAGCAGCCAAATTACATGTTACAGATAGCTTGATTTTCTCCTCTCTTTTCCATTTCCTAGGACTATGGATAAAGTCCCAACAGCTAGTAAACAGAATGTTAATGAATCTGTCCATTTTCTTTCGTGGCTCCAATCTGGCTGTAGGGAACCCCACACAGTAGCCCTGCTCTGAAGACACACGCTCTTCCTCCACATTCAAACTCTGCCCTCCTCTCCCCCTTCACTCCTACACTGTGTATGCAGAAAACAGCCAATTCCAAGCGGAATCTGAACACAGCAGAGCACTCTTCTGCACCCAGACACCAAACGCAGACACAGCTGCAAAGTGCAGCAGCCAAAGCTCACACAAAGCTCTTCTCCCAACTTCACATGCACACAGCGGGGAGGAAGGGGGGGGGGGGTGAAGCGTAAAGCCCATCTACACTGCCCAGAACGGCAATATCAGCTGAGACCTAAAACCTCTGACTACTTGGGCTCAGAACTAAGTAAATAATCATGCCTTCCTTTGAAACGTCTGGGGTCAGTAACCAGACATCCACTAACGAAAAACCAAGTCCAAGTCCAAGACAGACATATTCATTCATTCCTTCTTACACCCGTGGAAAAGAGAACTCCACCATTGCGTTCTGCTGCCTCCATGTGTGTCTCTGGAGGCGAGACACAAAGGGGCAGCCGGCACTTCATTATGACAGGTCTTCGGTCCTGCTGCCCTGTGTCTGTCTCTTGTTTTCTGATTCAGAACAAAACCTACACAACTGAGTACAACTTTCTTCATCTCAAATAAAACTACCCGTAACATGTCTAACAACAGATTCAATTACATGGCCGGCTGTGTAGAGATGCATTAGTCCAAATTTGCAGAAAACAAAGTTACATACACTTCTCCTGGGGCAGGATAAAATTCACTTTCTGGCTTTTTGTTCTTTCTTCCTTAATTTGTCATCAAGTACAACAAACTTTCCTAAATCTACATCTTATGTGTGATGATGTCCTATTAGCAAAACCTTTAACATTTATCCAGAACTTGACCATTTCTCTTTACATTCATGGCCACTGCCTTGCTCTAAGCCATCATCATCTCATGTGGATTATTTTAACAATCTCTTCACCAGTCTCCCCTTTTTTTTTTTTTTAAAATTTTTTTTTTCAATGTTTATTTATTTTTGGGACAGAGAGAGACAGAGCATGAACGGGGGAGAGGCAGAGAGAGAGGGAGATACAGAATCGGAAACAGGCTCCAGGCTCTGAGCCATCCTCCCAGAGCCCGATGCGGGGCTCGAACTCACGGACCGCGAGATCGTGACCTGGCTGAAGTCGGACGCTTAACCGACTGCGCCACCCAGGCGCCCCCAGTCTCCCCTTTTCTAACCTTCCCACTTTGTTAATTTACTCTCCACAACAGAGCAGGTACACTGATCCCTGCTAAACTGTAAGGAAGATCATGCCAGCCCTCTG